GTTCCTTGGTGCTTCGGAGAATTCTAATCAATGTTCACCTTACAGGTAAATCTCCTTTAATTTCTAATTCTCCTTCATCACCAAGTCACGTGGGTATCACGTGAGATGTTTAAAGCAAATTTTCACATACTGAAAATAGGAATTATACAAAACAGAGAAACTCCTATAAATGTCAAAGATTTATTGAGTATTCTAATCATCCATGCTACATGCTGAAGACAACATTGTAGACTGAAAATCTTTATCATTATCTAAAACAGTTTTGTCATAAAATTTGGCAAATGTATTCTCATTAGACCAGCCAACATATGATAAAATATTGTCAACCGATATTCCTGAAGAACGTGCGGCGGCGCTTGCAGCAGCGCGAGTGCTATGTCCAGAAAACTTGCTGGTATCAATGCCAGATTTAGATAACAGAGTTCTTATCCAGTGAGAAATACTGTCCTTAGATGCCTCTTGGAACGGCTTTTGCGTTGTCAAAAGAAGTTTTCTATTTCCATTATCTCTATATTTTCCCGTTTTTTCTATATACACTCCAATACATGACACGACACAAAGCGTCTTATCAGGAAATGCTGAAACAGTTATTGGTTTTACATGATAAGATGGTCTAGATTGTTTACAAGATTATGTACACAAAACACAATTCTATCTTCATAAACATGCATATTATCCAAATCTAAAAGTGACAGAGTCTGTGCTCTCTGTCCTGTTACTAAAGATAATAGCATGACAAGCTTTAATGTTAAATCAACCACTGATAATACTTCGTTATCCCCATACTGCGAATAAACGATAAGACAGTGCTCACACCCCAGGTCTCTGTATACCGCGGTAAATTAGGACGGTCGATAAAGACTCCCCTCATGAAACGTTCAATTAACGGATCAGAACCAATAGCCACATCATTAACAGGTGGTAATAAACAACTTAGAAAACTCCTGGAGGAATTTATCGTACTATAACAATATCCTTTATTAAAAAGTTCGGTAAGAAAATCCATGACAAATGTTATTGAGAAGGCATCTTTTCATATGTGAATCATACTGTTTTTTAGTTGACTCTCTCCAAGAGTTCATAAGAACCAGAATTGCTTTCTCAGGAATACCTTGGATTGATACATTAACAGACGTAGTTTTGGGTATAGTTTGTGAACTTCTTGAGGACGATGAGGTAATACCAATGTTTCCCGTGACTGACGAAGAATAAGAGGTTCGTCGACACAAAGTTTCATCAGTAATGGATACCAACTCGTTGTTGGCCAATCTGGAACAACAATAATAATTGCAGCTTGTACTTGTTCTTCCAAAATTTTTTTTTGAGAATTCGCTGGATCAAACAAAATGGAGAAAAAATGTACACACATGAATACAAATTCCAGGCACATGTAAAAGCATCAGCAGCACTAGCACTTGGATCAGGGTGCCATGATATGTAATTAGTTGACTGATTATTTACACGGGATGCAAATAAGTCGACAATTGGACAGGAAAATATTCTGGTTTTCTTCAAAAACGGATTTCTGTTTAACATTCATTCCGTGTCATCGTCAATTTTACGGCTTTCCAAATCGGCTAGAGCGTTTAATGAGCCCTTGATATGGACAGCGGTGAGGAGCACATTATAATGATGTGTCAAAAGCCAAACTCTCTTGTTAATTGGTTACAAATCACCGACTGAGTTGATCCAAAATGATTTATGCAGGCTACAGCCGTGGAATTATCAATATGCAGCTTCAAATTCTTATCTCTTATCTTATCCTTAAAGGATTGGAGAGCTAAATAGACAGCAAACAGTTCTAAATAATTAATGTGTGGATAATTTGAGCTGTCAATCTGCGACCACGGTCCCCCACTTCGTATATCACCCAAAACTGCTCCCTGACCAACAGTGAGAGAAGCATCGGTAAACATTTCCAAAGAGGGTGATTCTCTAAGAATGGGTGATTCCATGCATTCTATGTTTTCATACCACCACTTCAGATCCGAATTCCTTGCAGATGCCGGTAATGAACGCCATATTTCTTTATCGACTTTGGGCACCGACAATATTTCACAATTTTGAGGAAGCTTGGATTTATCATAAAATTCTTCACATTTCTTATCTTCATTTGCCTTAATTTTGTCTCCACGCAGCTATTTTAAGGTTTCCCGAAGCTTCAAAATGCACTCAAAACATTATATGTCATTGCGAGGTCGGTTTTGGTTTTAATTTATAAGTATTGAACTTAAGGAGGCTAGGGGGTCAACAAATTAACCACAAATTAACCACCAGATTTAACTTAATTTTTTAGATATGATATCTTAAGCTGTCAACTATCATTTGGCAAAGAAAAATTTCAAAAATTTTAGTTTCAAAATTTGATCATTTTCTATATCTTCATATGGAGCTCTTCTTCTAAAGGAGATCAATATAGTCTAAAAATGGCCACAACCCCCCAGCCTCTTTAAGTACTTCCAATTTATAAAGAGGGTTTCCTCGGCTATATATTAACATATTAGTAATGATATCACATGACTTTGCTGATCACATGACGGTCATTTATAATTTTTTGAAGTGTTTCATATAAATCGCGTCGGCGCAGCTGATTAACACAATAATTATTAACATTTTGTTATATAAATAAACTCATCATATCCTTGTGTATCCGTAATGTGCTTGGGAAAAGTCATAGTATTACTTAGATACAAAATATTTCCTGAGAAATTCAACTTACCTACAAATTTGAGGGTATTTTCCACACAATATCGTAATTTGTATTAAAACAAAGCCAACACACAATTTTCCCAAGCAAGATTCAGTTAGAGAACAAACTCTTCTTACAGATTTCCACAAAAATTCTCAGATTGATCCTCATTAATCACCTGCGCCAGACTCTTTTATGCACACAAAATAAATTCTACCTCCAACCATAGGTATAAAACAGAGTACATTTCAAAAGTATATTTTTCATAAGCAATAATTTCAATCAAGGGTAGGAAAGCGGTTTTTTTTTAAATATTCGGACATATACGACTTAAAAAACCTTAAACGGCCCGTGAATTTAGCAATAGCAATCTAGCATTTTACATCAAGTTTGAAATAAAGTGTAAAGTTCATGTCACTCTCCCCGTCATAACACCTCAAGTTTGCAGTGACTTGACGTCATTTTCTATTATGACGTCATATTTTGGTAGTTCAGAGATGTGAAGGCACAGAGTGCACTGTGACATTCTACGGGAAGCCTTAACCTGCCTGCGCAAAAAACATAGCTTTTAAAATTTTTGCAAGTTCATCTCTTATGGGTAATCCAAACTTATCCTTGCCCTCAAATTGTTTGGATAACTTTTCCAGAATAGAATTTTTGGATGTTTTCGTTGTTTTAGAATCAGAACATTCCCCGGACACTTTCTTCATCTTTTCTGGTGGTTCCCCGTCAGACTCATCAGCCAAGAGTTCATCTTAACGCTCATTAGCAGCGTTTCATTCAGCCATGATAAACTCTTGTATAACGCGGAAATGCTTAGATTGTGCTGACCCTAACAAAAAATACTATAGTAAACTATAGTTAGCTATAGTTTGCTATAGTAACTATAGTATCAAAGTAAAAACTTTGGAACCTTGATTTACTATAGTAAAAACTTTGGAACTTTGATTTACTATGGTAAAAACTTTGGAACCTTGATTTACTATGGTAAAAACTTTGGAACTTTGATTTACTATGGTAAAAACTTTGGAACTTTGATTTACTATGGTAAAAACTTTGGAACTTTGATTTACTATGGTAAAAACTTTGGAACTTTGATTTACTATGGTAAAAACTTTGGAACTTTGATTTACTATGGTAAAAACTTTGGAACTTTGATTTACTATAGTAAAAACTTTGGAACTTTGATTTACTATGGTAAAAACTTTGGAACTTTGATTTACTATAGTAAAAACTTTGGAACTTTGATTTACTATGGTAAAAACTTTGGAACTTTGATTTACTATAGTGAAAACTTTGGAACTTTGATTTACTATGGTAAAAACTTTGGAACCTTGATTTACTATAGTGAAAACTTTGGAACTTTGATTTACTATGGTAAAAACTTTGGAACTTTGATTTACTATAGTAAAAACTTTGGAACTATGATTTACTATAGTGAAAACTTTGGAACTTTGATTTACTATGGTAAAAACTTTGGAACTTTGATTTACTATAGTAAAAACTTTGGAACTATGATTTACTATAGTGAAAACTTTGGAACTTTGATTTACTATGGTAAAAACTTTGGAACTTTGATTTACTATAGTAAAAACTTTGGAACTTTGATTTACTATGGTAAAAACTTTGGAACTTTGATTTACTATGGTAAAAACTTTGGAACTTTGATTTACTATGGTAAAAACTTTGGAACTTTGATTTACTATGGTAAAAACTTTGGAACTTTGATTTACTATGGTAAAAACTTTGGAACTTTGATTTACTATGGTAAAAACTTTGGAACTTTGATTTACTATAGTAAAAACTTTGGAACTTTGATTTACTATGGTAAAAACTTTGGAACTTTGATTTACTATAGTAAAAACTTTGGAACTTTGATTTACTATGGTAAAAACTTTGGAACTTTGATTTACTATAGTGAAAACTTTGGAACTTTGATTTACTATGGTAAAAACTTTGGAACCTTGATTTACTATAGTGAAAACTTTGGAACTTTGATTTACTATGGTAAAAACTTTGGAACTTTGATTTACTATAGTAAAAACTTTGGAACTATGATTTACTATAGTGAAAACTTTGGAACTTTGATTTACTATGGTAAAAACTTTGGAACTTTGATTTACTATAGTAAAAACTTTGGAACTATGATTTACTATAGTGAAAACTTTGGAACTTTGATTTACTATGGTAAAAACTTTGGAACTTTGATTAACTATTGTGAAAACTTTGGAACTTTGATTTACTATAGTGAAAACTTTGGAATTTGATTAACTATAGTAAAAACTTTGAAACTTTGATTAAGAAAAGTAAACTACAGTTTACTATAGTATTTTTTGTTAGGGGAAAGCAGTTTTTCTACGAGGCCTTCTACGAATCTCGTAGGTCGGTGGAAGATTTTCCTGAGCAGCTTGGCTGCTTTATTGCAGGAGAACTCTCCTAAACAGCTTGGCTGTTTTTCAGTAGGAGAATTTTCAGGGTTTTTATGTGGTCCAAGAACATGTACATCAGTCTCTTCATAAACTGAAACGTCACCAGATTTGTTCAAATCACTTAATCTAAACTCATCAGAAAGTTTTTGTAAATCTGACATTGTTCTGATATCCAATATAAAATAACAATCGCTTCCAATAAATACCTCTTCTGCTCGATCTGGGAATAAACGCGCAACTGATCTGGGAGTAAGCTTGCATATCTCACATGATTCCCACGTGACTTGGTGATGAAGTTTAATTAACAATTTCTTTTTGCAATCATATTTAACAAAACCTATTGACAAAAAATTTAGAAAACTATTAACAAACTTTAGGTTATCAAATCATATGCTGAAAATTAAAACAGGGCGATACCATAACATACCTAAGATTTATAGATTATGTATATGTTGTAATCTCCATGATATAGAAGATGAATTTCATTTTATTTTGAAATGCCCTTTGTATATTGATCTAAGAGAGAAATTTTTGAAAAGAGTATTATTATTACAAGCCTAATATCCTTAAATTAATTCAATTATTAAGTTCTAATAATACTAGAGATCTCTTAAATCTGGGCAAATTTTTGAATGCTGCCACATTGTTAAGAAAAAATAATATCGATGTATAAGACTTTTTTCATCTATGTATTTTTTACGTTCACTCTCTCTGTATGATTTCGATTTCTTTTTCCTTAGCATGATTGTATTATTATTCTGATGAACCGGTTTGGTATAAATTTTCAATACGCTGTGTATATACTGAAACTCGTAGTAGCCCAAAGTGCATTGCAACTCATTCACCTGACTGGCCTGTCGATAAGAGTAAACAGACAGCTTATTTAAAATTCAAATTTATGCCGACGTCATAAAATCTAGTGGTCTCGACCTGTTGGAGTGTTAAGAATTCGGCCAGGAATATCTATATTAGTAAATTCTCTTAATTTCTGTCCGTACTAAACGAGTTTGTTCTGTACTTTGTTTTTCGATTAGCAAATACTAGCAGAAGTTAAGAAGTTTTCATTAATAGTACCGGTATATCATTTTGAAATATTTTAAAATGAATAACTTGCATGAAACTTGTTTAAAATATCATGAAGTTTTTTTAAAAAATCTTTTTGTTTCATCGGTGAAACAGCTTATCTGAAAACAGATCACGAAAAATTTAGTTTTCTGATTAAAAGTTTCATACTAGGTATGTGGATTGTAAAAACTTACAATTGTTTGCCAGTTCTGTTATCCCACACCGAAACTCCTTCATATTGACATGACATAAGATATGTACATCAAGTTTCTTGATATATTTATCTTCCATCCTCTCTGGTAAATGTAAGCACCTTTCCTCTTCAACATTTCCAAACCTCCATGTGCGTACATACTCTAATAATGAGTCCACTGAGGACAAATCAATGTAGTTTATGTAGTCCTCATCTGTGTCTAGACAAGTCCTGACAAAATAACTCATAACTTGATGGCGGACATCATCTTTTGCGAAATGCACATTATTGAGTACATCGTCCTTCATTAACATATTATCATTGTTCACTAATTCTTTAATAAGTAATTCGTCCTCCACTGCCTCATTACTCTGTAATGCTTTAAACGTTTGTCTAGTTTCCTTGATGGAATCTTTCCATTGTTCCTTCAAGCAAAGTTTGTAACCGTTTGACAAAAGGATGGTACAAAGTATGCCCATTTTGGAGGAAGGAAGTGACAGATTAAAAAGATCTGAAATTTAATCGTTATAACTTTACAATATAAAACAAATACTGAAACATAAGTTCACAATGTTAAAAGAATAATTTTCTATAAAACTACATTGGATCCTGACATTTCATCATTCGTCGATGCATACAAAATTTTATTTCTTTGAGTTTTATAGAGTATTTACTTCTTAACATGATAAGACGTAATTTTTTAAATCTTCAATGACGCGAAACTGATTAAGGAGAAATTTCTGTGTACACAAGAAGATGCCTTTACCGCTCTATGTAAAGAATAGGTATGGAGATGACGGAATGTGGACCTTTATTTGATATAAAAATCAAAACACATTTACAGATAAGAAATTTAAATGACGAGGGTCTCGAAGTAGGATATTTTACCAAATTTTCTCAATTCTGATGCATTTTTTTTAAAGAGTTAAATCCACGAAGTGCCAAAATCGGCCCAATCATCAACATAAATGAAACTTTCTCACATAATACTCTAAGATTTGTATGCTGTAAAACAATTTATTTTTTAACAATATTTTTTAAGTTTTCTTTTTACATTCGTTTATATTTAGTATCATTTTCCCTATTAATAGTTTCACGTCGTTACGTTGACGTTAAATACTTAATCGTCGTGACGTTGACATTTTGGAAAAGAAAGTAACATATACATAATAAATATAAAATACATAATAAAATAGTCATGGATTAAGAATAATCTTAAATGTGTTATTGTATGGTCATGCGGCGTACAAATAAAAGAGACGCTTTATCAGAGAATACACAAGTACTCTTTAATAACGAAAACAAAAAATTAAAATAAAAAGTTGCATTAAAATGAATACGTTTGAAGTTGCCATCTATTATATTGTCATTTTGAGGATTTCGATGCACTTCCGTAATTTATGGCATTTCCCAGACATTTGAAATGAAATTGTAGTTCATACATGTAATTCACGTAAAATAGTGACGTTTGACGGCAATCCTGCGCACCAAAGATTGTCAGGAAAGAAGTCACTACAGACTTTTAATCAAGAGTGATGCAAAGCGTCTAATCGGCCGCAAAAAATTAAACACTTTAATTACTATTATTTTTTTTTTTGACAACAAAGAGTCCAACGAAAACACAAGATTTCCGGAGTATTTGAATTTCAAAACGGAACCAAAAATTTAAATAAAACAAGATAAACGGAAATGACATGCATACCACTTTATCCAATGTAAATTACTTAATCGAAATAAAATTCACTAATTATTATAATAAATATGTTATATCATGAAAGAGAAAAGTTTTTTTATAAACCCAAAAGATATGAAAAGAGATTTAAGATGACAAAAAGAATAACCTTTACATGTAATAATAACTTGGATCAGGCCATTGAGTTTTGCAGACTATGCTGCACATCACGATGACGGACAACGCAATAAAGGCGAAGTGCAGAAAAAACATCATTGCGTCAATTACAGCTACAGCATATGTATAGCAACTTTTTTTTAAATAGACTGTTTTTTATTTATTAATTTTGACCCTATAATTCACATCCACAACAATAAAAATGTTTTGCTTTCATATCTCACACACTCCTTTGTTGGGGAGTACCTATTATAAACCCGTTTAATAAAATCGTAAAAAGTAATGATTATCTGGTGAAAAGTGAAGATTAAATTGAAACATAATAACAATAAAGACTTTCATATAGTTCAAAGCCAGTTTTAACATTTTATTCATAATTTTCACATATTTAAAATAACGTTTCGTTTCTCCGTGTGCAATTTCTAACACAGCTACAAACAGATAGGTTATAATGAGTATATACAGAAGACGATAAAATGATCATTATATCGTATACATATTGCATATGAGATTTTTAACTTGGACGATTTCGGCTCGTTACTTTTGCTATTAAACAAAAATATACGGAAAGCAGCTACTTGCAGTAGTAAATGGCTATCATTACAGACCGTCTAAAAAAATTATTGACCACATGTCGAGCGCATATAACCTCCCCCCCCCCCCCCCCAAAAAAAAAAAAAAAAAAAAACACACCATATTCAAACGCCCGAACTATGAAGCTATATTCTATATAGACAATCCTTTCAAGAAAACAAGTATGACTGACAGGCAGAATTAGCAGTTATATCCGTTTATAATAACAAAACATTCATGATACATGGCCGGAGGAACCGGTAGGGGGGACGAAAGACGGAAAAAATGCTTTATTTTGATAAAAAGTAGCAAAATCCACGTGTTTAGACGTTTTCTGTTTAGATATGACGTCATCATATTAAAAAAACATGGCATATACTATGTAAGTTTGATACCCAAGGATAATATTTCTATTGATAATTTTCTTCTTCCTCTCAATTTAATTTTTTCTGAAAAAAAAAATAGGCCGATTTAACCCCTTCGTGGATTTAGCTCTTTGAGACACATTTCATTTCGGAAAACAAAGCGCACAAGCTTGCTTGTCTCAGATTTTTTATACACAAAAAATACATCTCAAACTAGCTAAATGAAATATATATTTAATAAATAGGCAAGTTTGTTCTCTGTGTTTTTCTGAAATAAAATATTCTTAAAAATTAATCATAAAAATTTGGATGAAATAAGAGAATCCGGAAAATGACCAACTTTGAGACCTGCTTGTGACCTTAGTGTATCTCATAATTTAGAACCAATATCCATTTTGTAGCAGGGAGGTCAACAGGTTTTTAATAATGAACTCTTGAATCATTCATAGAGACATCCAAAATTATGGACCAAAAAGGGGTCTAAGCCTATCTGGTCCTTTGTAGAGTAGTTCTTGTGAAATTAAAACATATCCCTATGAAAACTACTACTTTCTGATAGTTTTGACGTGGGAGTGCGTGTATGTGATTGTTGAGTTTGGAGAAGTATAATAAGGTTGTTCTCGTTCTGATTTATATTTTGATTGAGCTCAGGGTAAGAACATTTATTTGTTTGGGCGATCGATCTATCTTCTTCATCCTGTATCAGATTTAATTTTTTCCAAAGGTTTGTTAAAACTTGTCTTATTGTTTTGGGGGGAAAAAACGTCGACGATTCCAATGTCAAAAGCGATTAACTTTAGTTTTTCACTTAGTAAATATTGATTAATGATTAAGATGTGAGAAGAGATCACTTGCACATTTCACTTAATGCTTTCATTTAAACATATCTAAACAAAAATACCTTCTTTCGGGATTCAAGGTTCATTAATTGAACATATTTATATTGAAAAATAAAACAATATACTACATTACATACTCATCATTAATCTTATTGTCTTCTGTTTGGAATAACGTACTTTAATTTTGACATTTGATCCATGTCTTACAACAAATAGTTCAGATTGCTTTTGGTTTCATATTTTTGTCAAACGCAATTAAAGAAAACCCAAAGAATGCCGTAGCTATTTACTTTAGACAAAAAAAAAAACTTTTAACGAGAGACCCCATGGACCTTAACTGTCACCTGAGTATAATACAATTCTATAAAGGTTCCATGGAATGTTAAATATTTCTACAACAACATAAAGACAAACTAAAAATGGATGATATTTATATTATATTTAAAATTCTTCTATAATTTCATTTCTTCAACTAAATCATTAATGACTTTATTTTCTTTGATTAATAATAACAAGTGAATTACAAAAGAGGAATTTTCTCTCTTAAGACAGAGTGAATATTCTCATACATAATCATAATAGGGTCCAACTTAACTCTGGAACCCCTGTTTAGTGGCCCTGAACTATATCAACTAAAAGAAGCACCCTTCGTTCAAAACCATGTTCTAAATTTCTTAAAAATTTTTTTTATAGAAGGTTACCCGATTAGTTCAAGGCACTAGTTTTCCTCAGGGTCCTATTTAAAACATAATAACAATGTAAATATAAAAACACAGATTACAAATATGAATCATTAAAATATGATCACAATACAGCACATAATTAGAACCGTGATATTTCCAGAACCTGTCAATTGAGGTACAGTAGAACAACAGCATACCGGGTATTGTCAATAGATCTACCACAGAACAACGGAATTATTAGCATAATGTCAGAAGACTTTAAGTTTCTGAAATTAAAAGCCTTTCAACTTTTCATTTGAATATTGCAAAGGATTGGAAATGTCTTACACTAATTGCTAACTCATTCAAGAGAACAATTCTTGAATATTTTCACGTTATGATCAAAAGAGACCAGACCCAATTCCAGAATTTCTAATTCATGAAGCTTGGTTAAGGACACTCAAAGAAAAAAAAACATCTTAAAATATTCCATGAAAATGTATTTCGGGACTTTCAGGGGCCCAGGTTTTTTTTATTCTTGTAAGTTATTGTACAAAGGTTCCATCCTCTGGCTTTATATTAGGTCTATATATTCATTCACAATTAAGTTAGAATATAAAACATATATTAATTTATTCAAGAAGATGTATCTACCTCGGTCAGATAATACTTGTTTCCCATTGATTTTGATATTCACAGACTATCTTAATAGCTTGTTCCTTAACTAAAGAGAACATACTTGCAATACTAATCATTGACTACATTTCAGTCAGTACGGCGAAATCATTATCTTTCATTCTTTTAAGGCATGATAGGTTGATCATCATTTTTTTTAAAAATATATTTAGAAAATATTCACAAATAATGCGTTTTATTTTCGGAAATTAATTTTTATCTAAAACAAAATCAAATGTATATCTGACTTCTCCTGACATATTCTATAAGATATTCATATTATGCATTTATAAAGGACAGATGATTCAAACAAAAAATGGATGCATGGATTGGTATAATTTTTTTAATCTATTTTTGTTGTAAATGATTAGAACAATAATTTTCTAAAATATTTTTTAAAAATGTAAACTTTCAACGATTTTCGAAATTCCATATATCTGCAACCATCCTTATTAATCTATACAACGTTCTGTCACTTTAAATCCAATTATTGTGAAACGTTAAATGAAAAATGAAAATATAGGCATTTAAACTTATTCATTTTACTT